AGCAAGCCAGTTTTTCGGCGAGGAACCACGACGGGACGGCTACCAAAAACAGACCCCCCTGCTCTATTCTATCCAAGGAAGCCGCCGTATGTTGCAATGGGTTGTGTGCAGGCGGCATGGCGGAGTTCAAGCAAATTTGGCCCAGGGTGGTCTATGGCCCCAACCCCAACCAGCAGCTTCGCTTTGGCGCTGGTCGCCTGGAGGGTGCGCGAGGCGGCGTTGGCGTTGAAGTCACCCACCAGCATCAGCACATCCCCCACCTTCGGGAAAAGAGGCGCATCAGTGTCGGAAAGAGGGCCCCGAAAGCCGGCATTCACAAACCAAAACAAAAGATTGACCAAATTCCAAGTAGCTGCAGATTTATGTTGACTCTGGAGAACAACCCGCTGAATACTTGGGTGAAAGTTTTAAGTGAACTTTGGATCCGCTCTCAATTGGGACCCTCCTACTCAACCTGGGATTTATCAATATAGGATTCCCGTAGGGTGAACTTCAGCTCCCCAATCCTTGGGTCCTGGACGTGGGCCCACGGCACGGGCTTGGGCAAAATGGTTGCCCACCAAACAAAACAAAGCAACGCTTTGGTGGGTTTCAAACAATCAGAGGAAACACACAAGGAAACCAACTATCAAAGCAAAAAACACCAGGACATCAGCAATCCAAATCTCTTGCATGAATCTAAAGCGACCACCCCTTGGTGAACACATCCGTGTTAGGGGTTGTGTCCACCGAGCACTTTGAGGGGGTTCTCGATTCTCAATCAACAACCACCACATATTTCCTAAAAAGAATCATTGTGTCGCAAGACCCTCTTTGTAAAGTTGCTATAATAATCACTTTGCCTGGATAAATTAACCACAGGACCCTGAGAATTGCGTCAGCAAAAACCAGCCCTGCCCAACGCCACGGATCCCCGCCTGGGCATTTTTTGCCATGACCTGCGCGGACCCTTCCGGTACTGGCACTGGGTCTCCCCAGACTGGATTCCGGAAACTTCGATCGGAACCCTTTTGGATATGGTGGACTGTGGATTTCATTTTCGTAGTTCGAGAAAACGAATGAGCCACGTTCCACTAAGGGTCGTTTGAGGATTTCGAAAACAGGCACGACGGCTCTGTTAGGCCTTGAAACGCCATGCATTTGGAAAGCGTTCCACTGGCAAAAAGCTCGGCCCCCGGCCAACCAGGAAGCCAATGTGAGGCGATCTTCTGAGTGTCAGATATGCGCAATCAATTTGCCTGGACCCTCAAACTGACCTCAGCTGGATATTGCCGTATCGTATTTTTGTTGGGCAGTTCATATGCAGAGCAAATGGCAAAGACTTTGTCCAGGTGCCTCTTGAGAACGGCATCTCTGCAGGCCCATGCCATAGGTGGAGTTTACACCAAGCGGGACCATAGGTGAACCGGTGCATGTCCAAAACACCGACCACTTTTAGCGCTGGCCAAACGCTGTTTTCAAGCCCACGCAGGGACGCACAGCCGGGGGGGTCTACAAACCCACAAACACTGGGAGACATCTGCCAACCAACAAACAATCAGTGCAAACAAACACCTCTGTCGCTGACCAAGCAAAAGCTACACCAGCCTTGCAGAGTTTTGGACTGGCAAATTACCTGGACGTTGTGTACTGATCACATCACCAAGCCAAGGAGAGATAACCAAAAAAAAGTTAGACACTTCAAAAATACCAGAAGTGGCTTTGCTGTGCTTTTGATCCTGATTACAGTTTGGCCGAAGACGATGACCAAATCTATATAGATGGGAAGCTGTGTTTGCCTTTGAACCTTTCCGGAGAATGCCCGGACTCCCCAGAAGAGTAAACATCCTTTCAAGGGGTCTTGTGTTTCCCACAAACGGAGTCACACAAGACACCGCATGCTTTCAGCCACCACACCTGCGCATCTACACCCTTGGATGGGGTATTGTGAATCCTTCGGCCATCTTGCCATGTCCGGAAAAAACAAGCATCGAGGAGACCGGAGCGAACCCGACTTAAAATCAAACCTGTCTTCATAGAGCCAAAACCCATAAAGAATCAGAAAGGCAGCGTTCCGCTTCTGTTTCTGGTAACTGTACCAACCTACCCAGGTTTGACTCTGGCTCAACTTGGTTGAGTGGCCCTTTACCTCGACTCGTTTGGGTTTGCTCCTCGATGGGGTCGAAAAGGTCCCCTGTATTTCTACTCGGCTTCGATCATCTGCTGGAGGCTCGCGATGACTTTCCCACTGTTGGCATGGTAGCAAAAGACGGTGCTCTTTTGGAGCCCCTACTGAAAATGATCTGAAAAATCATACTGCCAACAACAGTGAAGATTAACCCTGTCCATTTTCTCAAGGGAAGCCCAGTGGTGCCAGTTCTTCCTCAGCCAGTGCCCCTGGTGGCCGTATCCCAGTGGTCCCTTGCAGAGATACAGCTGAGGAGAGGGGGAAGCAAATTTCGCTTACCTTTGGTGTCGAACTCTTTTCAGATGGCATTGCAGAATAAGCTTGTCTGCTAAAAAACAGAAGAAGAAAAAGAAAGAAGAAGAAAAAAATGAAAAAAAGACGTCTTTGCCTGGAGAAGTATTTACTCTTCCATCAAAAAGCACCACTTGTTGCGGGTCGGATCCGTCTAGCCCAGGTGCAACGGACGGTGTCCAGCGTCCACCCGGGCCTGGAGGATGTTGTAAGCGGTGGCCTGGCCCCCGCAGAGCCCCCCGCTGTTCACGGACAGCGGCCCGTGGTGGTTCCTGAGCCGGGCAGGTGTGGTTGCCTTTGTTGAGGGAAAACACGCTTTTGTTGTTTTGCTTTGAGGGGCTGGGGAGGTTGTTTTGAAAAACCAACCACAAATGGAGCTGAGTCTAGGATTCGGACTGGTGGGGTGTTCCTTCTCAATTGAGAACAAGCGCGGGGTTGAGGGGAAACAACATAGGGACATAGTTCGAGCCGCTGCATGCCCCGTTCTACGCCGTTCTCAAATCGAGGGGAAGTTGCCTTCCGTGTTGAGTTCTGGGAACATTCCTCCTTGACAGTGGACCCGTGATTCATAAACCCTCCAGCTCAGAGGGTCCCTGTGTCGTGTGACGCATCCTGGCGTTCTGACCATTGCCAGCTACTCGCGAGGCAACCTTTTTACTGGAAAAAGTTGTTTGTAAAATTGCACCCCTTTCCATCTGCCAACCGCCAGGTGGCGAACGATCCCCCCATCCTTTTCACCCCGCCCGACTTTGGGCTCTTGGCACCAAGAAAAGGAACGAACAGCTTCGGAGCGTCAAGACACTCGATCAGACTCCGACATCGGAGACGGACGAGATTCTCCGGTAGCTGAGTTGGGACTTGGGACCCATGTCTGAGAACCCGTCTGAGACCGGTCCCCTGACCGCTGGATTTTTGTTTAGGGGCACGAAGAAGAGGTGCCGCCCGCTGGCCTGCGGCAAGGCATCGAATGGAGACCTTGAAGGCCTAACAATGGGATTCGTCCCCTCATGAGAACCTCGACTCCACCTCTACGACAAGGGCTTAAAAAGTTGGAATGGGATGGTGGCATATTATTCACTAAACCGAATTACGTCATGATGATAGGAAAGAGGGAGTCAAGAGGAGGAAAGATCCAAAACACGCCAAGCCACCAAGGGGTGAGGTGTGTCAATCCGAATAGCGTTGCGAGCATTTTCTACCACTCACTTCCCGAGTTCCGGGACTCGGGCTTTAGTCACTTTTTGGGCTTGGACCTTTCTAGCGGTACACAAGAAGTTTAGACTTTGTTTTGGCCAATCCACTCAGGAAGTCAGAAAGCGTTTAACCCAGAAAGAAAGGGCCGCCTTGTTTAGCAATCTATCAGGGACTACTTAATCAGAATGTTGTTTGAGGCTCGATAATATGTTGTACTTAATTTGCTCCCTGTTTTCTGCTAGAGCCCGGCAAGGTGGGTTTCGCAATGGTCAATGACAGTGAAAGGCCCAGTGCCACAAAATGGAATACAAAATCCGCAAAACTACCGTGACAGGCCACAGGCCGGGTGGGGGCGTGCCAAAGGCCGGCTTAGGTCAGAAAGACCTAAACACTTCCAACGCTCAATGGTATTCAGAGTTTGCCTGCATGGGATCGAGATGAAGAAAGCCCAAGACTGATCAAGTGAACAAGAAACGCATCAAATCCGCAGCAAAAACAACATGATGTTGAAAGAGAACTAGCACGCGTGCAGACTCATCATGTTCTCGAAAGCGCGATCAAGCACAAAAGTCCAAGAAAATCAAGCAAATAAGCATGTGCACAGGGTCAACCGATTCAAGAAGTGTGTCCGGGCATTCAAGCATTCCTGTGCTGAACGTGTGCGTGTAAAGGAGTGCAAAAAGGGTTTGGTCGGGAATTCAAAGGATGAAAAGAAAGGTCAGAAGTTGCTCTGGGGGAGGTTGACAGAGTCATGGGATTCAAACAAGCTTTAAAACACATGTTGGGTCACTCGCAACACAGGTCTCAAAGCGTCAAAGGAGACAAAACGTCACAAAACATGGGTAAGAGACCCATTCCGTTGGCCGAATTGGAAGGATCAACTCCAAACGGGGCATGTGCAAACACAAGAGCTGCAAGAGGTCAAGGGAAAACGCATCTGGCAAAGGATAATATAAGCCTTGTCATGAGTTCAGAAAGGTCAAAGCAAGGTCCAGACATAGGAATGTTGGTCACCACTGCACCCCAAACAGGCAGATTGAGCCACGAAGTCGCGTTGGGATGCGAAGCGCCCCATTGGCTGAGACCGATCTCCTGCCTTATGCTGCAGCCGCATCCACTGTGTGCCGCGGGTGCCGTAGTACTCCTAGATCGATCTGAACTCACGTCAAACAGATGGTTGCCCCCCAATTTTTGTTGGGGGCCCCCCGTTGGGTTTCATGCCGGCGCTTTGTAAAGGATCCAAGGAGTGCCTTACTTGGACAGCCGCCCCGATGGAAACCATGCCACCCGCAGGTGATGGATGCCAACATGCCGCTCCAAAGCAACCCAGCGGCTGTGCGCATGTCTTCCGCCACATCAGTCTCCTCGGGTTGCGCAAAGGAGGCAAACTGGGAGAAAGCAGGAGCTGGCAGTCCCTGAGCAAAGCGTCTTCAACTGTCAAGCCTTGCAATCGTGCTTACCTGCCGTTGGGCAATGCAACCACTAACCCATCAGAAACCACCAGCATCGGTGCTGCCTTTGCAAAACAACGCGCTTCTGAATCAGCTTCCCACAAATTGGTGGCCTCGCCTGGTAGATGGTAGATGGGAAACCACCCCTTGACCACCAAACCACCAATCCCACACACACACACAAACCCAAAAACCATGCAAGGACAAATTGCCTGGCATGTAAGCAGAACTGCGCAAGCCCAGCGCTCTGGGCCCACTGGACTGTTTTTTTGATTCTTTTTTTGCGACCTTTGTGCAGACCAAGGCACACCCTTCTGGATCAAGGACCTGAGACATGATGCTAAAGCACGGGGGCATCGATCAACTTCGCATCCGGATTCACCACGCAACTCTGCACGGATCAACAGTCGTTCCGTCAAACTGCGAAGAAAAGATGCCCCAATCATCTGTAAGACCTGCTCCATTCCCACTTCAACATTTGATACCCTTGTTTCAACAATCATGGCAGCAGACAAGGGGCCTTTTCAAGACAATGGTAGTCTTCCATGGCAAAAAAAGGTCTTGAAGTTGGCCCGCACTTCATCCAACGGGCGGCCTGGTTTGTTCTTCGACCTGATCAAACCAATTCCAGCTGGCTGTGGGTCAAAACCAATGGTACCATTTTGGGGCAGGTGAATTCACCACCCACTTTGGAACCTACTTTAGTGGTTGGATTGCTTGATGTTCACTGGGGGCTAACCGATTTGGCTTTTGATTTTGACCCATGGCCACATGTCGCCCTGAGCCAAATGGCCAGGTGTCCTTCCGGTAGGCCATGCAAATGGCGTGGGTGGCCTGGAAGGCCTCGTAATGCCTGGGAGCGGAGAGCGCCGGGCTCAGGCCCCTGATTTGGATGGGGTTGGGGGGTTGGGGGGTTACCTGAGGTTTACATTTCGGATGTGCTTGGGGTTTACCTTGACATTTTGTTCGGAGGTTTGGGTTGGTTTGGGGTTTGCCCCGTTTGAGTTGGTCTCGGATTCGACCCCTTCTTGTGGACATCGGGCATCGCAGCCGAATCCCAAATCCCAGGTTCCGGGCCGCTCGTATGCCAAAACTGAGGGCCGTCAAGCACTCCATTAAGGAGCTTGTCAACCTGAGACAAGAGTGGGCAATCTCAAGAATGGGGGTTCATCCTGATCGAAGCCCCAGCCTGATCATCGAGATTCAACCAAAGAGCCCCTGGTCACGGTCATGGTTTCCTTCAAGAGGGTTCAGCACTTCATATGTCCCAACCCCAGGCCATCTACAACCCCCAAGCGAATATTTCCCCCAAGCACGGTTCTCCGACCACATACAAAAAAGAACTACTTTGTGGTCCCATGACCACCCCCCCCAACCCCCCCCCCCCAAACCAACCCCCCCCACCCGCGCGCACATCGGGACCCTCCGGGCCGTATCTTGAGAAAACTCGCCGAGCTGCTCTAGGAGACCCACGGGGCCCAGCACGCGCACGGGATCTTCGCACTCCTGGAAGCCCATCACCTGGCTGTGGGTCAAAACCCAGACAACCCCTGGCGAACATCGAGATAAGGTGGCGAATGGATGTTCATGCACCCCAAAATAAATGGCTCGCCATAGGTTATGCAACCCATGGCCACCTCGGTGCCCGTTTCGAAACGCGGCAGAACTTGAGCCACTTTGTGTCAAGAGGGCATGGGAGAAAAAGGCGACCCACACCTGACAAATCCGCTCTTGTTAGGGAAGATCGGCTTCGGTCTTCCTGCACAACCCCCCAACCAAGGCTTCACCTCCCCTTTTAAGAACCACATAGGAGAAAACCTCTCCAAACTAATCCGACCTGTTGCAACAGTTATAACCTTTTGCTGGTGAGGGAAAATGATGGCCTTAAGGGCAAAAGGTTTGGGCAATGTCTGGCTATAAGAATGGGCATCTCTTTTTCAGGCCGCCCCCTCAAAAAAAATGCTTGGGTTTTCCTACGTTTCCCTTATTCAACCGCAAAAAAAGGTTATACCAACTCAAACAACCAAAAAAAGAAACGCGCCAACGCTCGCTTCGGGTGGGCCCCGTGCTCCGAGGCGCGTCGAAGTGTGGCTCGGAGTTCCGCTGGATGAGGTGCCCCGCGCTGTCGCCGCGACCACCCTCCACCTGCGCGCGCGCGCTCGAGCCAGCCGCGCCCGAGACGAAACCCCGAAACAGCCGCGGCGAAGCCACGCAACAAAAATGGATCTGCCCCCTCCTAGGCTAAAATAGGCCTAGTTACAGCACATGTTCATTATACTGTTCTTTATCTATCTTATTTGGCATGGATGTGTGTCTTGTTTTGAGGGTATTTCTGGGTTGGTAAGGCGGACCGAAGGCAAAACCGAAGCCATTCTTGGGGGTCACTCAAGAAACAATTCCATTTTTGGGGGAACCGATATGAAATGTTTTGTGAAGAACCACCCGGCAAAAGGAAACGGTCCAAACTCGGCAATGGTATAGCAGAAAAGCATTGGAAAGAAAGAGAGATGAGGCGCAACATTGTCGGACTCCCGCAGAAGATTACCACTTGCGAATCCGACGAAATGAAAGGGCTTCTTGGGATTTCGCGTTCATCGGACCCGGGGTACTTTCACATACCCTCTCATGTTGCGTGGTGAGGATGGCACCGGGGGACTATGCAGAGTACATTGTGCGTGCTGTCCAGAGGCACCTAAGAACAAACATAATAATGACCATCACTGTCACAATCTTCCGCATCATTCCAAAATCTCAGCTGACCTTGTCATGAGCTAAGTAAAACACATCACCTGAAGGAGCAAACCCACTGCACCGGATTTCAATTCCAGGACCCGCTGCACCGGTGCATGCCGCAGCTGCCCTTATAGATTCTGTCAAGAGAACAATAGGCATTGATTCAACCCTTCAACGGTAACAATCAAAGGCTGAACGGAAGAAACTGTTCATGAACCCTGAAAGAATTTCTGATTGATGGCTTGAGAAACCCCCCGCAGCTTGATGGGAAACCAGCAACCAAAGGGGCTCGTGGTCATGAGGTTAATATATGGGCCCATACAACTATTCGAAAGAACGTGAACCCCGCAAACACATCTAAAACTATGAGGAATCCCCTTGGGTCCTTTGCGTGCAGCCTCTGTTGGCGTGAACAATTTTGTTTCCTAGTTATTATGATTCTTTGGGTGATGCAAAGTACATGACGCTGCCTATTTTAATGAAGAGGTGAACGACTGATCAATACCGGGTCATGTACTGCCGTCGTGTACTGCCGTCGCAAACAGGTGTTGATTTGGAGCAGAGCCCACATTTGCATCCAGAGAGGGCGCCTTGAAGAGGTGCCACCAGAAGAGGTTGTAGGAGAGAGCCTGCCCAAAGTGCATCAACCCTCGGGCCTTACAGGAGACACTGGACTTCCCCGTGAAAAGTGGCGATTTACTGGGGTGTCCACTGAAACTCCCACGTTTGGAGGTTCCAAAAAGGGAAATGGAGGAAAACCCTGCCATATCAAGGGCTCCTGGGCTGGAACCTTGAAGGGGCTGATTGAACGTGGATTTGCGGGAGAATTGAAGAAGCAGCAAGTTCTACGCACATGTTCCAAACCCACGATTCCCCTTTTCTGCCTGACCCCTGCTGTACGACAACAATCGCACCGCGCAGATGCGTGAAGATCAAGAGATTCCTGCAAGTGCCTGGGGCAACTGGATCTCAGGGTGCTTTGTTCGGAACTGCATCTACATTGACTGCACTCTCGTGACCGGCCATCCAGTGAACACACTTGCACCGTAGCGCACGAAGAACTTCAGGCAAGGTGCACCAGGAATGGGTGTTGCTTTTCTCAGCCGGTAATCCCTGGCCCGGGTCCGCTCAGGCTTCCTTGTATGTCCACTGCAAGGAAACGTACCTTCAAAATTAGTCACCATCAAAACCTCTTGTGGGCGAACCCCGCAGGCATGCACATTCTTTTTGCGCGTGGTTTCATGGTTCAACTGGCCCAAAGGCGATGCCGCGAAATCACAAAAGAAACGCCGGGGAGAAACGTCCGGCCTTGATCTGGATGGGCGCGCCAGCAGCTGCGGGCTTCCAGAGACGAGGCGCCACCGCGTTCTTGCACCAGGCACCCTCAGCTCCCACCCCTAAAAGGGGAATGCGAAGACAAAATTGATAGGAACCCCGGACGAATCAACCCCAGAGACTGCGCAAACGTCCGTAGTCAGCGAATAAGTTCTGGAAAACCCTGAAAATAAGAAGCTGACACTTTCAACAAGTTCTTTTGCATCTCCTAACAAATATTGGGGGCACAGATCCCAGCCAGCTGAAATGCCAGGGAGCCTCCCAAGACCTTTATGCCTTCCGTCCTTCGCTGACCAAATCTCTCCCACGACTGGTAGCCGGTCACGACTGCTAGGGTATAGGCGAGCCGACTGCGCCACAGCCGAACAAAAACAAGCAGCAAACCAAACAACAACATGCGTTGCTACGTCCCGCGTGCAGCGGCGCAAATGCGCAAGAGCAACTTCGAAGGAAGCTGCCTGACATGGCAATAGACTAGGAAACCTTCTGAACGCTTGGCAACCAAAATGGAACTGAGATGCTTGTTTTTGATCTGCACACTCCGCGAACCCGCAGCAACTACCAAGCACCCAGTGCGATTTGCCCCGGCAGGCACAGCGCCGAGCCAACATCAGACTGTGTATGCAAGCTAACCAAACGGCACCACACCCAAGCACGCGATAACTCTTTTATCCGAGCAGTGTGTTGGTGCCAGGGACTCATCTTCCCCTGTCAGATGACAAAGGCTGGGTGGGCCCCATGGGCCACCCAACTCACAATCTCAAAAACTGAAGAACGGGTGTGCAGACTGATAGCGCCCGCCCCTGAGCCGGGGCCCGTGGCACCCAGGCCACAGGGGGGTCTGCCACCAGGGGAAGTGAGTCGCCCACCGGCTCCGGTCACGGGAGCATGGGTGGGCCCACGCTAAGATCAAATGCATCTCCATTCAGGAGACGCGGGAGAAAAACGAACTCCTCGCAGAGTTCCTGCTTGGGGACCCTTTGCAAAGGGTCGAACCCAGAGAAATCTGGGTGCGTCAGCTCATCAGCCCATTGATTGAATTCACGGGGCACGTGGTTGGCCGCCAGCGAGCAGCCATGGGTGTGGAGCAGGAAGACCAGCTCCATCAGGATCGCCGCCGTGTAGGGCTTCTTGGATCCAAGGTTGAGCATCGCCATGACGTTGCCCTGATTGTCACTGCCCACCGGGAGTCGGACCCGGGAGGACAGAGGGCCTTGGTGCGTGAGGATCATGTTACAGAGGAAGAGCGTGCCCAGCATCTCCAGAGCCGCAATCCTCCGCTTGGGATCCCCATTCTTGAAAGCCCAAGGGTACTCCTCCACGTGGATCTGCTCGTGGAACCAGTACACCTCCTTCTTTTCCGGCTCCACTTTGTTGGAGCACCAACCTCCCACAAATGCCAGTCCTTCGTCCGAGGCGCTAGCATCGCTGCAACCCCACCAAGAGGACTTCGGCAAGTAAGGGGAGTACTGGACGAAGGGCGTGTTGAAGAGGAACCGCAGCATGAACGCCAGCATCCTGACCACCTTGGGGGGTTTCCCCACCGTGGTGGTGGCCATCTTCCAGGCCCAAAGTGGCTGGAGCATCGACTTCGCCAGCGGACATGCAGCCGTCGCCCATTGGATGCGACCCAGGGCCTTCTCGATGTCCTTTGAGTGCATCGCCTGCCCTTCCACCATGGTCTGCAAAACCTCCATAACCAGGATGTGTTTGTTGGCTGCCATGAGAACCTGCGGGATGTTCGGGTGGACCACGAATCCCAGCCAGGGTGTTAACCTCCGCCAAATGCGTCTTCTTCCAGCTAAGCGGGGTGCCCAAGGCCAGGAGTGTTGCCAGCAGCGCCACCGCCAAGTTTACTGCCCCCTCGCTTCGAAGCAGCCACAGGAAGTCATCGACAAAGACGAAGTTCCAATCCACTTGAGGGAAAAGTGCGTAGAGGACCCTGAGTAGAAGGGCTGCCAGGCGTCCCCAGTAGGATTGGGCACTGGCCATGCCATATGTGCCTACCTTGTTCACCCACCATTCTTCCCCCAGTGAAGCCACCTGGAACCGCCAGTCCTTCCTGAGGACCTTCACTCTCCGGTGGGCCTTGGTGACGTCCGCCTTGAGCAGCACCCACCTGGTGCCCGGCTCCGGCCATAGCCAGCCCCCAGGTGGAGGTTTGACGACCCCCCTCTCGGGGCCAGGGGCACCCTGAGAGGGGGGTCCCTCCGCAGCTGCCGCATGTAGCCAATGAAGAGCTTGGACCCCATCCAGCACCGTCGGAGCCGTCGTCCTTTCCACCGTCTGGTTCCTGGCCCTCCCACCGAGCCATCGTAGATTGTGCGGATCTTGTCCCCCTCGTCGATGCCCGCTAGGGGGCCGGGACAAAGGTCCTCGATTTCGCAGCCACAGCGCGATGCCTCCACCTTACTGAAGGGGCCCTCCACCATGCCCATGAGGACCTCCTCCAGAAATGTGCCCCGGATGAGCTCGCTGAAGTGATCCGCCGAGGGGTAGTTACCTGCCCGTTGGGTGAGGCTCTGCTCTGCCCCTCACCGGCGGCGGGCCCCCCGGTTTGGGGAACCATCTGAGGATGCTCCACGTCCTGCAGTTGGGGCCGCCCCCCACCAAGGCGACCTTGCCCGCCATGGCCATGGAGCACATCGTGGAGTACGGCTCCTCGCACAGCATGTCCTGTCCAAGGTCTCCACCCTTCCGCCTGATGTCCACCGCCCAGATGTACTCCGAGAATGCCGGGTTGTAGGCATGGAGGTAAGCATCCAGGGCCCCCGCATCATCCTTCCCAGCGTACAGCAGGATGAGGGACGGCTTTGACGACTCCGGCACCGGCCGTGGCGTCCACCTCAGTCTGAGCCTCAGTCTTTCCGGGATGTCCTGCATCCATGGGAAGGTGGGGCTTGCCCTTCTAGGGATTCCGTGTGTCCTTTGTCTGACCCTCCCGTCATCTGTCCCTGGGCTTGCTGCTTGCCCTGGCGGTTCTTCCCGCCCTTGGAACGCCCCTTGCCGGGCGGATCCTCACCTCTCAGTCTCTCTGGGGGGTCTTCCCACTGCCTCGGTGGGTGCGGGGGAAAGGGATGCTTCCGCCCTTCTGGAGTGCCCTGGCTGGGACCGCTCCTCTTCCTCGGTGGAGGGGCTTCCGGGGCCGGTGGCACCCTGGAGAAGTCCCCTCCCATCTGAGGCCGTCCTCCCCCGCTCTGTCTGCCTTCCGCTGTGGCTCTGGTGGGGTTGGCTCACCCCCTCTGTGTGCACTCTCGCACTGGTGGCCTGTGGTCCCAACTGAGACCGGGAAGCCACGGGGCCTATGCCCTGAGTGGCCTCCTGTCACTTGGGAAGGTGAGGGCATGCCTGTGGCACATGCTTCGAAGGGGGGGCATCGCACACCCACCCATCCTTCCTAACCAGGCAGTTGTGGGATCGGCCGCAAGATCCCGAACACTTGTTGTGGAGGTGATGATCTCTGCAAGACGCCACCCCTTTGGGATTCTTGAAAGCCCAGTGGTCCGGCCATGGAACCGAGGGGGTGCTGGGGGACTTCCCCTTGCCGCCCTTGCCCTTCGGTTTGGACCGGGTCGGCCCCGAGGGCCAGGAGCCTTTCCCCCCTTCTTGGGCTTCTCCCACTGAGTCTGCCACACCTTGGGTGCCTTGCCCTTGCTCTTCCCCTTGTCGCGCCCTGTTGAGGTGCTCATAGACCTCCCGTTGCCAGAAGAGGAAGTCGCCCCTGATATTCTTGAGGGCATCGGAGAGAGTGGTACCCTGGTGAACCATCTCGTGGATCTTGCGCCATGCATTGCGCTCTGCAAACAGCAAGGTGGTGTCGCTCGGGGAAGGCTTCCTGCCGGCGATGTCTTCCCCATAGAACCAGGCATACCAATCATCCAGCTCCGCCTTGGTGACCTTCAGGTTGCCAAACTGTGGCAGTGCTGCCGTGCACATCAGGAGCGTCGTCCTGAAGGTTAGGTGCAAACGTTCCAGTTGGCGCCGGGATGTAGGGTGGCTCCTCACCTCTTCTTCATCCTCCCTGTCCCAGCCGTCCACCGTGATCTTCTTGTGGGTGGATGAGGGGCGTTCCCCTTCTTCCGGGAGCGCGCTCACGATGTGTTTTGCCGGGATGTAGCCCAGCTCACCCTTGGCAATCATGCGCCACTGCTTCTTGAGGTAACCATCACTCCCTTGGAACTCCAACCTCGGCTTCGGGGTCCCATGCACGTAAGCATCCTCCAGCTGGCGCCTGGTTGCCCCCCCGGATCAAGCTGGCTGCCACCCGGACTGCCTGAAGGAGGCGCATCGCCGTGAAGGCCGAGGTCTGGGCGTTGAACCCGTTCTCCCCATCCCGGAATCCCAGGTCCCGGGGACCATTCTCCCTAGCCGCCGCCGGGGTGTCCCAGCGATCCAGGTCTTCCACCGTGACGTATCCCGATGCGCCCATAGCCGCCTGGGTGGCCCAGGGGATCTCCTTCCCCACCAGGATGGCCGCCAGTGGCTTGTGCAACTTTGCCACGTCCTCCTTGAACTCCACTGGGATCTCCTCCGGTGGTTTGGCCGCCATGACCTCTGACCTTGGTGTGGGTGGGTGGGTTTTTCACACAAGTTGGGTTCAAAGAACCCAGGGCAAAGCTTGAGCCAAAATGGCATGCGCCATTATGGTCAAGCATTGCCAACACAGTTCATGTTTCCACATGCGTTTCAACATTAACAAAGTGTATGCAAGCTAACCAAACGGCACCACACACAAGCACGCGATAACTCTTTTATCCGAGCAGTGTGTTGGTGCCAGGGACTCATCTTCCCCTGTCAGATGACAAAGGCTGGGTGGGCCCCATGGGCCACCCAACTCACAATCTCAAAAACTGAAGAACGGGTGTGCAGACTGATAGCGCCATTTCCGAAGGACAGTCTGGCACACCCGCCATTTCCGAAGGATGCCAGTCTGTGCTGAGGGCCCTGGCCAGAGCCCCACTCCGGGCCTCCCATCCCCTTGGTCGCCAGGGCCGGGGGCACCTAGGCTGCCAACGGTAGGGCCACCACCTCGGTCTCCGACTGGGTGT